GTAAGTCGGTTTCTGTGAATAGAAAATTACTAGTAAAGATACGATAGGTGATATGTATATAGTAAGTCATTGTAGGATGTACATGAGAAAGTTATGATAATCGGGATTCGGGAAACGAGAAACGGTAGACGGAAAGGGATGTATAGGTACTGAAGCGAGTATTACGGTGTCCGGAAAACGGTTTCCCGGTTTGGGCCGATGTATATTAATAAACTGAGGAGAATTGGGTTCTGCCATACACAAGCCTTAGATCGGCAGATTAGTACTAGTTGGGTGGGTGACCACCAGCGAATCCCTTGCTGTTGTATGTTTTCTTTTTTTGGTGTTAATTGAATTTTTGCCATCCCTAATCAATCAATCAATCAATCAATCAATCAATCAATCAATCGATATCAAAGAATCCCTCTTGTACCTTGGTATCATTCATCCATTTAATCACCCCTGCCCTCCTCCGCATCTTCCATTTTCTCCCATTTGCATATTCATCTCATCTTATTCCTAGCATACCTACTTTAAAATAAAGACTACAGTACTTCTCTATCCACAGGATGTTATGTTATTTATATCGATATCAGCCCCTCCCCTCCCCTTCCCTTCCCATGCCTTCCCTTCAAAATACCCATCAACTCCTCGCAAATATGCAAACACCCACTGTTAGACAGTAGACTGAGTGAGAGACAAACCCCTTCAAGGTCCCCCTTGGTCCTCATTTGACTCCGAAGAAAATGCAATTAATTTCCGTTCCCTATCCATACCATCCATCCACCCACCCATCCATCCGTCCAGCCTTGCGTTTTTATCCCTTGCCAACCCATGAATCCCTAATATCATATATCTTCATGTCTTGAAGTCATAACCATAATCATATCATGACCATTTAATATCACCACTAGGCGGCCTCGCTGTTCTTCTCCTCGAATTCAACTTAGGCTCTAGCCCACCAGCCGTACTCGAAGTCGTAGGTCTTGTCGGCTCACGCTCACGCTCACGCTCACGCTCACGCTCTCGCTCTCGCTCTCTTATTCTAACTCCATTTTCCCTATTTTCCCTCCTAAGCTGCGACGGGTCATCCCTGAGCTGCGGCGCCGCTATCGATGACCGTGATGTACGAAGTAGTGACGTTCGAGGTAACCGACTTTTGCTGATCGGCCCCCCATTCGTCAAATCACCGCTCGTTTTTCGCAATATGGTAGTTGTGCCCTCTGTGGTTCTGGGTCGATAAAGAAGGGATTCAGTACTAGATGCCGCCGATGTGATAGCCGTGCGTCTATGAGGTGTGATACTTCCATCAATAAATGCTGATGTTTGTGACATTCGACTAGCTTGAGTCGGCGTTAAAGGGGTCGATGATACACTATGCGAAAGCGAAGGTGGTGTAAAAGAACTTCCACGTCTCGAAGTCAACCGAGACCTTGAACCACTTCCGTTCTCCGAAGCTTTCTCCATATTGAACTTGACCAATTCGCTTGCCATGTTCCTTACCAATACAGCACTATCATTTTCAGAAAGATGCTGGATGACTTCGAATAAAGCATGATGCCTGATGCTTTCTGCTTCGTCACCACTAGCATCGCATATGCTGCGAACGATACGTAACAAATTCAGACGCACAACAGCCTTTTTATGGTTGAGCTTCTGTAAGATACCAGTGAAGAGATCAGTCCGAGTAAGAGAACCGGCTATAGGCGAGCTCAACCGTAAAAGCTTCTGTAAGGGCTCCAGTAAATTATAGTCGAAGGCATTTGCCTTAGGTGCAGCAAAACATTGCACTATCATGGTGGTAAAATCACCCTCCAGTAAAGCCTTTTCGACCCTGGCAGTCTCTTCTTGGAGCCTGAAAACACAATCAGTACGTATCGTTATTACCCACAAGATGCTACACTTACCAAATGAATATAGCATCCAGAGCGGTGACCTGCCAATATTGGTCTTCCAATAATGAAACATAAAACTGTAAACCCTTGTTCTGCCAAAGATATTTACGTCCGACTTTCCCGGAATGCGCCATATCACATAATATAGGTAGGGCAAACTCCTTCGGAGGGCGTTTCGTTTTCATAATTCGTTGAAGTAATGGTATTATGCCGTTAAAAGCTGCGTCCTCCTGTCGCTCTTTACTGAGTCGACATAAATTATACATAGTATTTAGGACTTGATTAGAGATTTCGCGGAAATGAGCAGACGTGCGCTTCATACTTGAGCTCAGTAAGTCGATCAACAATTCAATGGCGTTTGCGGCATGTAATGATTCGAGGGTTGTCGATAACATGGATAGATTTTTGATAAACTTGAGCATGGTGATCTGATGCACTGGTGTCATACGTCTCAGATCCTTGAGAACCCCTGAAAAAGTGTTAGATCATCATACAGCATGGCACCAAAAAAACTTACGTTTGAGTACTACATGATCAGCTACGACCTCCTTGACATAGTTTTCTGCTTGTGAAAAAAGATAGAATATATTAACGATGCGTCCCTCAATAAGTTCGGAAAGCTCATCCTCTTCATCCAACACACGATCCAAGACGAGGGCCAATGGGGATAAGATCTTGCTTCTCGAGAATATACGGCAGAAGTCGTTCTTTGGAGTTGGTCCCTGATTGAGTGTCAGTACATCTACTTGAGAATTACGTATTCTGGCTTACCTGGAGCTCAAACACATTCCAAATACCATTAACACCGATGAGAACCAGGTCCCTAGCATCATCATAATCTTCATCAAGAAATTCGACAAGAACATTCAAACCACCTGCACTAACAAACATTTGGAGTGTCAATGTCGAGGTCTGGTACATTTGTCTTACAAAAGCAGCAGCTTCAAGACGTATCTCATTCGAGTATTGCCTAGCAGAAAACTTCGTAATTATGGGAATTCCTCCAACGAAGCATAGGTTTTCTTGAATCTCGACGTCGTTCGAAATGATGGCGTTGACAACTTTCAGTAATCGTAATATCATACTTTGACGACTCTTCAAGGTGCAAGGTTCTAGTATCTCTAAAATCGGAAGCATTCCGTGAGCACTGATGATCATGCTTTTCGCATCTTCGGACTCATACAAAACATCAAGCTAAATTGGTGATTAGTTTTAAAACCACCATGATTAGGTTGAAGCATACCAGTTGTTCTGACAGCTCAGATAACACATCCTCAGCTTGTGTAGCTTTAAGTGAGCTCACTAGTCCTTCGACCGATGCGCATAGCCGAGCATGTTTATCTCTGGCAATATTGGCTTGCAAATCCATCTCATCGAAACCTTGCTCCAACGATGCGAAAGGGTCATCTTCATCATCTTCATCACCAAGCCAGGAATTATTCGAGAGCTTCGAATTAATCATTAATGCTTCTTCTGAGCCCTTCTCGTACTCAACTCTCGGAACAACTACCCCTCGTGGATCAAAGATATCTGAAAAATCTTCATCGTCCTCATTTTCCGCGTATTTTTGTATCTCGACTGACGAGTGTGTGCGATGCAAAGATGGATTGTCATGGGAGTTAGGAGTTGCCTTTCTTCGCAAACTACTACCTCCATTTGTAGTAGGGGACAGCCCAGCACGAGGGATGCTTGTCAGGTCAGAGGGGTGAAAGAGTTTTGGAGAAAGAGCGTCGTCCTAAAGTCATACACGGTTAGCAATGATACCACGACTCATATTAAGTTTACTGACTTTAATTATATCCAATCTTTTGTCAAAAATACTATCATTATCAATGAAAAGATCTGAATAATCATCTATGGTATTCTCGCGATACATGATTGCTGGCCTCATTGGCAAGGCAAATTTTCCTTCAGCCCGAGCCTTGACTGGAGATTTCGGTCGGGGAGGAGGTAAAGACGGCTTCCTCGAATGACCTCTAGGGGAAACGTCTTCCACAAAGTCGATATTAGCAGGAGCTTTGATTTTGTAAGGTCGGATGGTTTCCAGTTCATGGCCGTCCGTCTCGACATGGGTGCTGGGCCCTTTGATTGTTACAAGATCGCCCTCAAAATTATTGTCCCAGTTATCGGATTCATCATTTGCGAATTCAAACGATGCGAAAGACTTCAGGCGATCAGCGGAAAGTAAACCTCCAAAGTTGTCATGAGGCTTCAAATGTGGGAGTTGAAGCGCACTAGGAGATATAGAAGAAGCGAAGTCATCGTCCCAATTATCATCCGCTTCAACAGTCAGTTTCCACAAGGAATTTTTATAATTTCCCAGTGGGACTCGCTTACCTGCAGTTTCTGGAGACCTGAAAGAACTTGCCAAGCTTTTCGGTTTCGCCAAAGAGAGGGGGCCCTTGGGGGGTGTGACGATATTATTGCTTTGGGTATCATTGTGAATATTTCTCAAGGGAGGGTCCCGACGGGCTGGTAAAGGGCTACCAAGCTGCTGCGACCTCGTAGAAGTACGAAACGACCCGGCAGCTGCAGGAGATTTCAGAGCCTCATTCCACTGCTTTACCTCTTCGACTGCTTCATTGAAATTCGCTGGGGGCTTCGCGACAGGAGCATCAGTCCTCCGTGAGCCCACAATCCAAGCATGTTTCAACAATTTCCGAGCAGAAACCCTTAAATTTGGATCTTTTTGAAAACACTGAATGAGAAAATCTCGAGCCGCCTGCAAGTTGTTTTAGCTTTGGTTGTCTCAGTGAAAGGAATGTGACTCTTCACTTACTGGTGATACTCCTTCAGGCAAAGGAGGATGGTCATCATTGACAATAGCAAATAAGGCAGGCATAGGAGCCAATTTGTGATACGGTGGCTTGCCCTCAAGCAGTTCTATTACTGTGCAACCCAAACTCCAAATATCAGACGCCGGAGTTGCACCAGAAAGTTGTATGATTTCAGGAGCCATCCAGTATGGGGTTCCCACCACCTGTGCTTCCTTGTCTGCTCCAGCAAGAGTACTGGTAGACACACCAAAATCCGCAAGCTTGACCTTCCCATCTTTTGTCGTGAGAATATTCGCGCCTTTTATGTCCCTGTGGATAACACCCTGATCGTGAAGGTATTGGAGCCCTAGAAGAATTTGTCCCATGTAAACCCCAACCAGATTTTCGGGAAATTTTCCATAACTTTTGCATATCGAGTGTAATGAGCCGTTTTCGCAATACCTTGGGGGTCATGGTCAGTCGAATGTGGTGTAGAAACAGAAACACAAGATGTCTTACTCCAGAATTATGTTCAAGCAGTCCGAAGACTTAACGAAACCAAGATATTTGACAATGTTGTCATGCTAAGAAATGTCAGTTCAAACGAGTCCTCCCACCTCCCACCTCCCATATTCCAATGTAAACCTACGTGTAGATTTTTGAGAAGGTCTATTTCAGCCTAGGCATGGTATCAGTCCACAGTCCAAGCCAACTCAACGGATATATCTACCTCAATCATCCGCAATTCGCTCTTCGGAAGGTCTCCCAGCTTGATTTGCTTCACAGCCACAGCTTCCCCTGTACCCCAATTGAACGCCTTGTAGACCGATCCAAAAGCTCCCTTCCCGAGACATTCTCCTAGACGCTGAACATTTATAAGTAGGTGTATTTCCTCATCTGAAAGCCTCGGGTATGTACGTAGTCTTTGAGGCCCGGATCCTGCACAGCCTTTTCCTTTCTTTCCCTTCGCGGTGTCCCCGGAGTCCTATCTGACTTTGCACTCCCATTTACGCCCGCTGATCTTGAATGGCTTTGCCGGTCGGCTGAGGGCGGATAAGAGACCATAATTGGTGTGCGATGACCCGGGCGGGGTTTCAAAGGGTGAAGAAGAGAGCTGTTGGAGGTATGTTTCTCTGGCAGATGGAGGATCTCATTGAAGCATCAGCTTTTCGTGTTTTGTGGACTAAGTTCCTGTTTCACGACGATTATTTGGCGGGGTTATAGGATTATATCAAGGTTGTCGATATCGGTGGATCCTGGCCCTGGCCCTGGCCCTCAACTCACCTCACGGCGAAAATAGCACGATAGCACGGGAGAGTGGATATGAACAACAATTCACTGTTTGTATGTGTATGTATGGTATTATGTTGATCTGGGGATTTGATATTTGTATCTTGAGGATAACATTCTCTGTTGTTGTTGTTGTTGTTGTTGAAGTAATTTGTATGAATGTTTGTAAAGTCATTACAAAAAAAAAAAAGGTGTTGTTAGTTGGGTGGGTTATGAGTTGTGAGTTGTGAGTTATGATTTATGAGTTATGTATAGAATTGAATTACCGATATTGTTTTGGGCAGTTAACAAAATTGGCAAACAAGCGCTTTCCAGGGTGGATCCTAAAGGTAATAAGGCTGGTGGGTCAGGAAATTGAGAGAACAGACAGAGTAGGTATAATTTGATAGATCATCAAAGTCTTGATATGATAGATTCCATTTGGTTGTTTGAAAACGCCATTTATTGTTTATTTGTCTCATGAAATAATTTCTTATTTCTATTTGATTGACTTCTCTCAGAAAATTGATATACTTATTGATAAATATTACCTACCATCTATCTAGGAAACTATAAACCTTTTATAGTCGAAGTATTTTAGTGAATTTCAACTCCCTGATATGGCCTTTCCAAAAGTCAGTAACTCCATATATGGATCCCAACGTCATGCACCAATCTTCTATGATTGAATTGAAATTCCGTCCTGTCTGTCCATCATGAAACCGTAAGTGATGAGCCACCCTTATTCCGCTCGTCTGATCGTGATCGTGATCGTAACACCGCGGAACGGAGAGCCAACTTCTCCTCCATTATCCACCGGCCCAACGCCGAGAGAATAAAAATACAATATAGTATCACAATTGTGGTAAATCAATCTTATCCTCATGCTACATCGTTTTTTTTTTTTCGAGAAAGAATCCCGTCCCTACAATAGCTAGAACACTACTTCGAACGACTCAGAGCGAATCGATCTCGCCATGAACACAATGCTCTCGGGAGTGGTTCCCATTCTTCAAGGGTGATAAATGCATCAAATCTAAGTCTGATGAATTTCGTTTTGATCTTACTAGGAGCTTGGCGGAATCCCAGTCATAGTTCGTCTAGCATCATGCGATTGAAATTTAGATCAGTGGACTGATGTCGAATTTGGACCTTTTGATCGTCCAGGCCTGACAAATTTTGCTCTCTATGTTTGTGAATGGGGAAAGAAAGGGTTTCCATTTATAAGCAGGGAAAATGTTCGACTTCTGCATCTAACAGATCTGCATCTAATAGATCGGTTTCTGCATCAAATACATAATCACAGTCGCCAATCGATGCAGATTCGGGCAAACTGCTACTAGAGGTATTCGCAGAAGGTCGCTGTGAGCTAGAGGCAGCTGTTGAAGCAAATGACGATGATGCACTTGGTGGTTGTGGATCAGGCGTGATTAGAAGATCGTTCCATGATCCTTCGCCTCCTATACTGAGGCTACGTTCTCGATCACCTAAGCCATTGAGATCGAATTGCTCTGCAGAGCCGGCGATATCGATTTGCTCGATTTGCTCAAGATGCTCGGGGACGCTGAATCGTTGGACTCGCCCAGATTGTCGCTCTCTGCGCTGTTGATCAATACGTCCGCGACGATATAGTTGGAGGCGACGGACAGCCCTTAGCTGACGTCTTCGTTCCTCTACATGATCTATCATTTGCTGTTCACCAACTTCCTCCATTATTGAGTCTTCCAGCGTAATCAGTCCATCGACGCGTTCGGCCAAGGCAGTCTGTTACAGCGATTAGAAAGAATCTTTGACGAACTACACACAGCCCACATATAAAATATATTTGGTAATTTAAGGGGACAATACTTGAAAACGTGAGCTTACGTTGGGGGTTATATCTCTATTGAATATGGCTGGACTCGACGAGTACGAGTCGTCGTCTTCCATGGTCTGATGGTCCCGCATCCTATGAATAGACGTTCGAGAGATGAAATTCATATCTATCTCTGAGGATGGTGGGGGTCGAGTTGCCCATCTGCGATTTCCTCGGGCATCTCGTATACGTACAAGCATTGAATTTGAAAATCTGGGTAACGAAGGGGGGTAATCTCTCGATTCCGGAACGGCGGGCATCGATGGACCATCTGCCTCTGAATTTACAGGGACTTGGCGTCCGTGATCTATTGTATGCGACTGAATCGGTGTTAGAGTCCCGTTCATCGCATCTCTCGTCGTCGTTGTAATCGCAGCTATAGCGGCAGGCCATGTGGTATTCGAATCCTGATATATGGGACGTGTAATAGATGGTGGACTGGGATGTGAATTCGTATTCGAATCCTGATGTACAGGACGTGTAATAGATGGTGGACTGGGAGGTGAATGGTCTAGGCCTAACGCGCGCCTTCGCCGTGCCAAATATATTGCTCGAGATTCATTACCAGACTCATGGCGACGTTGAATGGCAGATCGTATGTCGGAAGCAATTTCTTCTGCCTGTTTGGATGCCAAAATAGGCGACGAAGGTTTGAAGAATATCCTATAATTTGGAATTAGAATTATTTCGCGAAGGACGACAGGCACAATGCAAAGGAGGAGGCTGATGACATACGGCTGACCCATGTTTTGGATGAAAGGAAATTGAATTAACGGGAAAATAGTTGACAAGTAGGCTTATCAAGTCTTAGCGACCGTGATTTTATTCTTTGTTACAACAATTTTAATGATTTTCAAAATTTTCCCATTGATGATTGGAATTGATGATTGAGATTGAGATTGAGATTGATCCGGGGGGGGGTACAAGTAGAAATGCAGAGATGGGGAGATGGGGAGATCTCCTCTGAAAAGCGAGCTAGATAAGAAGCTAATAGATCTCGTGCATACTAATTGGGTGGGTCATCGATAAACATACCTAGTATATGCCTCTGGATGACTAAACCTCGAACCTCGAAAATAGCAAGTATCAGTTCTGCTATTTCTTCATTAGTACTAATAGAAATTCTGTAATAAAACATTTACATGAGTCAATGACAATAACATTATCAGTAGCATTTACAATGTCTATATGTATATCTACTAAAGAATAGTAGTAGCTTCACTCTTCAACCAATCATTTGATTCTCCATCAATATGATTGAGCTTGGCCTAAATCGCATCAGTCGTCTTTTGAGGCATACCCCTCAACCTTGGAAAGCCATTCATGTTGCAGGTACCAATGGAAAAGGTTCAATATGTGCCTATTTATCTGCGATGCTACACGCCAGTGGTATTCGTTGTGGCAGATTTACTTCACCTCATTTAATTGATAGGTGGGATTGTATTACCATTGATGAGCAACCGATTCGAGAATCTATCTTCCGCGAGGCTGAGACTCTAGTGTTAAACCGAAATCAAACAGAGAACCTCGAGGCATCCGAATTCGAATTACTCACAGCCACGGCATTCGAAGTATTTTATAAAGAGAAGGTAGAGATGGGAGTGATCGAGGTTGGCTTAGGAGGACGATTGGATGCCACAAATGCCATGGAAAACAAGGCCGTTACTATAATTTCCAAGATTGGCCTAGACCACCAATCATTCCTTGGAAATACAATCGAGGAAATAGCTCGAGAAAAAGCGGGAATTATGAGACCTGGTGTTCCTTGTGTTTTGGATAGGAGCAATATTCCTTCTGTGCAGGAAGTAATCTCAAATCATTCCAAAGAAATTGGAACAGATGTGGTCATTAGTTCAACGGAATCAGCATTTCTGGACGAAATCAAAGAGCAAGATTTCGAACCACATCAATTGGAGAATTTAGCTTGCGCATATACCGCATTTCATTTAGCATATACTAAATTAGAATCACCTCTCCATCGACTACTGCCAGCCATACAAAACATTCACTGGCCCGGTAGGCTCCAAACTACTGATGTTAGAGCTGTGACAGGTCGAAAAGAACCTATATTACTCGATGGCGCACACAATTCTCAATCCGCAGAAGTTCTCGGTTCATATGTCAATGGAAAGCTTCGAACAAAATCAAATAAGGTGACGTGGGTACTGGCAGCTTCCCAAGGCAAAGAACTTGATGGAATAATGAAAGAGATTTTAAGAGAAGGGGACTGTGTAGCAGCAGTCCAGTTTGGACCCGTAGATGGAATGCCATGGGTTCAAGCCATGGTTACAGAAGATATATTACATGCAGCCTCTACCGCTGGTATATCTACCGCTTGCTTGCATGATTCAGAATCAGATATTTCGGGGGCATTAAGATGGGCAGCCACTGTTGCCCAAGGTGGACCTATCGTTGTGGCTGGTAGTCTTTACTTGGTCTCTGATGTTTTGCGGCTTTTGAGAGACGCCGAAAAAGTAAAGAATTCATTGCTAGATTAGGCCAGCTAAGACTACAACATGAATGCTCCAGCATTCGCCGCTCACAGTCCGGTGTTCACCCATTCTTTACTCATTCATGTCACAAATCTACTTCCAAGCTACATCATCCGTACTCACAATAACCTCATGCACCACCATCCTATCTCTAACAATCTCCTCCCCATTCACCAAATCATTCTCCACAACCCTCTTCTCCGCCTCCACTTCATCCTCCGCAATCCCCGCCCTCACATGTCTAGGAATCAATCTCCGTTTCGCTACTTCAAAGTTTACATCCACAAACCACAACTGATCCATTAATTTCGCCGCACTTCTCCAAGGTTCTTTATCCAACGATAAATAATTCCCTTCAAATATCAAGATGCGAGTAGTGGGTTCGATGGGTATATCGTCAGCCCTGGGATCCTTGAGCGCATGATCAAATGATGGAGCGTGTATGGTGGGGGTCGAGGATGTAATGGGTTCGCGAACTTTGCGGATGAGTGTCAGGAATGATGGGCCGTCGAATGTAAAGGCGGCGCCTCGTCGGGCGTGCGCGTGGATGGGATCCGGCATGGCGGATAGTTGTGCTCGTGTAAGGTGGTAGCCGTCCATAGGGATGAACCCTGCGAGTGGAGGGGAGGAAGTCGTGTTTGAGTGGGTTTCTTGGAGCAAGTTGAGTCGCTTGGTTATGGTTGCTGCGAGGGTGGTTTTTCCTGGAGTGGGGGTGGCAGTTAGGAAATGTATGGGGTGTTGATTAGGAGTTGGTAGAGGAATGAGATGAAGAAGGGGAGAAGGAGAAATGCGTAATTCAATTACCTGAACCTGGAATCCCGGATACTGCGACCAAATATCTTGCATTGGAAGGTATGGATTGGAAGTTCTCTAAACTAGTTGATTAGCTCCTATATTCTATCTCCTCAACATTCACATCGAAGCAAAGAATCATACATACCCCAAACCTTCTCCGTCAATCTCGTTACTTCATCTTCCATATTGAGAAATATAGGATTTCAATTCAAATCTAGACGTAAACGATTTATAGAGAGACTACTTGAGCATAAAGGTGAGAAGTAAAAGTAGAAATATAACGAAAGTGGAGTGCGAAAGCGAAGCAGATGTATTATGAGTATTTATACTCGATCGAGTATGAGATTATGGTGGAGATCAATTGACATGGTGAAACATACTACCTAGTACCTACCTAGTATTCATCTGATGTTATGTGCTGATGCTTGCTTCTACGCTTCTACCCCTCATATTGCCCCGCGTCAGATTTGTGATTGCAATTTCTTATCGATAAGAGAATAAATATTATTTTTATCTTTACTTGTCTATTACTTGTAACCCAAACCTTACCCCTTTCAACTCACTCACTTCACTTCATACTCACTCACCTCGCCTCTCACCAACCTCACAAAATCCAATAAACAATCCTCCCACCGAAACAAAAACCCTCAATCCTCAATTCTTAAATTCGACCCCTTCCTCCCTCCCCATCCAAAAGAAAATGGAAGACGAAAATCCCTTCTTCGCCATCTCAGTAGATTCATCCGATGAATCCACACCCGATATCTCAGAAAAAGTCCCTCGAGATTTTCAATCAGAAGAGAGTTTTCAAAAGGTTAAGCGTGAGTGGAGGGCTAGGATTGAGTGTGGTGAGGTGTGTTATTTTGTTTTCTTCTCGTTCTTTCTCTGTTCTTCTCTCTCCCTTCCTTATTTACCCCTAGCTTCTCTTCCACTTTGTAACTTGTACCTCACCCCTAATAGGTATTCTAAAAAGATAGAGAAAGAAATAAAGAAACTAACAAAACACCCAGATCCACACCACGCTCCCCCCACTCCCCCTAAATCCGCGCAGTAAACCGCAAACTCAACAGATGCTCCACGCAATCGAGGAATTATATTTTTATAAACGATATGCGGAAGCATTGGATCTTACGGAGAAGGTGTTGATGCAAAAGGATTTAGTGGAAGATTTTAGAAATGTGGTGGTGAAGTATAGAAGGAGGTGTGGGGAGAGGTTGAGGATGTTGGAAGATGGGGAGGGGAAGGGGAAGGGGAAGGATGGGGAGGGAAAAATTGGGTGTTGAAGGAATGAGAAATTCGAGAAAGAGAATATATGAAAGCAGTCATCTTCGACCATTCGATAAGTCTGGAATTGACGAAACTGTCAGGAAGAGGGGCCAGAGATTCCAGCTCTGTTACTCGAGGAATTTTCCTTCTCAATCCAGGAATACCGAGCAAATTCATAATTCGGAGTCATACATACGATGGAGTCCCTGAAACTCGAAGCCTCGTCGATAAAAATGGCCATCGAGACCACGTTCTACTTCGTTTTAGAAATTCGATCAATCTCTCAACGACTATACACCCTCGGTCACAACCCAAGAAATGTATTTGGATTGAGCCACCATACCATACATTGTTCGTCAGAGAATATCAAATCAAAACGCTTTTTGATTAATATCGTCTGAGTACCGATACTATATTATATAATAGAACCTCAACTCCGAACAATGGATCTTCAGAGTACCCAGCGATTCAGCGTCAAGACAAATGGTTATCGAATTCATCGGACGCACATTACATTATACCCCTTAGTATCTCGGTTAGAAGAGGGGGTACCATAGCCATCCACGCATCATTTCGACCCTCATTCCGACCTTCAAAAACCTGTCATTAAGTCATATCATATCATATCATATCATATCATATCAACAACAACAAGCTCTAAGGTTACAGTAGCAGCGCCACTGGGTCCTGAACATATAAATAACTCGTTACTCTCAGACTATCGGTATCCTTCTACGGCTGGCCTCGGATCAGGTAGATAGACATAAGGTTAGTCACTTGCTGAATTTGAGTATATTGTATGATGATGAACAGAGGAAAGAGGAAGGAGGAAAGAAAGTTGTGGATGGATGGATGGATGGATGAATGTATGGACTGTCAAGGGAGTGAGTGAGGAGAAGGGGATGATTAGAAAGGGGTGAGTAGGCGATGCGATGTGATGTTGAGTGGGACTTGGGATGTGTATACACTCGAGTCTACATACATAAACATATACTCTCACTCATACTCATACACATACATATACATATACATATAAAACCATCATCCAAGAAACCATCCACAGCAAACCGCAAGTTCGAATTGTATTTATATTTTGATATCAATTAGCTACTGTATACTGAGACAACATACAACATACAACATACAACATAACATACACCAGTACTCAATACACATTTCCGTTACCCTCATCTCCTTCTCCTTCTTTTCCTTCTCCTTCCCTATTCATTCCCTAGTATCCTTTCTTATCCCTTGCCCTTGCCCTTGCCCTCTCTCTCCATACATCACATCTATCTATATACATATATCACATCTATCTACTCGAGTATATATATCTATATACATACATACATCTACAAGAAGAAGAAAAACAGAAAAAGAAAAACAGAAGAAATAGTAATCTTACACAATAGATAGTATAGTATATATATATAAAGCCTAGCCAAGTACCAAGCACCGAGCACAAATCAACACTCATATATCAACACTCACAAATCACCAAATACACATCTCAAATCTCAAATCAACACTTATACATAAAATAGCATCCTATCCTATCCTATTCATTCATAAGTCAGTTAGTCAGTCAGTTATGTTTTAAACAATTCCAATTAGATTGTTTGGATTATTGGATTATTGGATTATTGGATTATTTGGATAATTTGGATTATAAATATATATAATATATGGCATTTTGTACTCATACGTATATATCTCTTACTTGTACTGAATAGCTAGCTTGGATAATATTATAATATTATATCACTATATTACTATATTACTACCTAGTTTCCTCTCTCCCTCTCTTTCTATCTTTCCTCTATCTCCCCCTCTCCCTTCCTCCAGCCCTTCTCACCCCTCTTTTCTTCTCCCCCCA